AGAGAGAGAGAGAGAGAGAGAGAGAGAGAGAGAGAGAGAGAGAGAGAAGTGGCCAGAGCAGGAAGCCAAGAGCTCACCTCTGAACAACACCAAGGAAGCAGAGAGAGTGAACTGGAAGAGGGTGGAGCTATAAACCTTCCAAACCCACCTCCAGCCACCTATTTCCTCAGGAAAGCGGCACCTATGAGGTTCTGTGACCTCTTCAAACAGTACCGCCAACTGGGGACCGAGTATTCAAATACCTGAGTCTGGAAGATGACAACATTTTCATTTCAGACCATAACCATTCTAATAGCTCTTTGCTCTCCCGCAGGCATGTGAAGCAGAGGTGCACTCTACATCGATGTTAACTAAGTTTTGTTGAAACATGGCTGTCTTTCTTCTCAAAGAGCTTCCATCTCCATGGTGAGAACTGGAGAGAGGCTTCAAGCAAGCCTCGCTGTGACACAGAGCAGCCATAGCTAAGGGAGTGTTGCAGTTTGGCTGAGAAATGTCCAACAAATGGCTCACCTGTGGTTGAGTTCCAGCTAGTGGCTGTTTAGGGGAAGATGTTGGGAGGTGGGTGTCCAGTTGAAGAAAGCAGGTTACATGTATTTTCCCAGTCCCCATTAGTTTCTCGTTGCTTCTTGTTCGACATCTTGCAGGTAGCCTGAGCCCAATGCTCTCAACACAGTGATGTTCTGCCTCCTTACAGGCCAGAATCCGTGGACCTGAGGGCTATAACTTTCCCCTTGGAAACTGTGAGCCCAAATAAACAGTTCCTCCCTTGGGTTGTTCTTTCAGGTGTTTCGACGTCGCTACATAAGATGACCTGACATGAGAGAATGCAGAGGGCTGAGAGAAGGAACACTTCCTCCTGCCCCTGAGCACTAGAGGGTTCTCTATGAGGGCTGGATAATCTGAATAGATTTAGAAAGATGAATAGGATGTTAACCACTGGGGTTGGGGTGGGGGCGGAACATCCTCTGGAAACCAGCAGAAACAACCCATGGAAGACTGTGGTTACAGAGTTGATGCTTAGTACAGCTGGAATCTGTCAGCTTTCTGAAAAGGTTCTCTACCGCAGAGGGTTCTGGGTGGAGTCTGATTCGAGGTGTGAACATGACATGTATTCAGTACAAACCGTACTTTCAGTTCCTTAGCCCCTCTCGTGATTGGCCATGCCCATGAGCAGCAGCCCCCACTCAGCCAGCCAATAGCCAGGAGGGAAAACACTGATACCCAAGCGTCCCATCTCTAAGCTAGGGTAATGGGTAAATTGGGTGGATCGGATGCATTTTGGGCTTGATGCTTTCGTCTCGTGCTGTTTATCAGGACCTGTCGCTGCAGGCAGTGACTGTCTCAAACCGTCCCATGTGTGTCTTCACCACCTGGGCTGTCCCCCTGTCCCCTCCCCAAGCCTATCCACAACCAAGCAGTAAAATCTTGCTGCTGCCTCATCCCTGAGCCCCCAGGTCCCCCTAACTGGCTAGTGCCAGACTCCCCTCTCTTTCCAGGGAGTGTTTTTTTTTTTCCCACTAGGTGGAAGGAGAATCATTGGTGAAGACCACCCTGCGGCCAGATCCAGAGAATGACAGACAAGCAGTGTGAGCCAGAATCCTGGAATCAGCTTTTTAAATTGTGCCTTTCCATGTTTGTTCGCACCTCCTCAGGAGCCATGTGTATATTTATAGAGGTCAGCAGCCACCACCGGGCTGTGCCCAGACCAGATGTTTCAGAAATAAATAAAGCAAGCAGAAACCCAAGGTGGAGCAGCTTTTGTCCACAGCGCAGTGAACCAGGGGCAAGACAGCAAGTGCCCGTCAGCTGCTAGGGCACTGCTGGGGCAGGACAGACCCCAGGGTTAATACTGGTGAGCAGGTACTTGGCTTCCCGAATGGCTTTGCAAAAGTAGCAAGACAACTTCAAAAATGAATCAATAGTGCAGATTAGATACTGCCCTCTCTCTGCTCTTCAGTATGAACCCCCCTCGAAAGCGGTGCCCTGCAACAAGCTCCTCAAGTTTCATTTCTTATTCAAGTGAATCTTAGCCTGCTCAGAAACCGAAGTTCCAGGACTGCGACACCGGACTCTCCCCCCCTCCCCGTTTTTTTTTTTTTTTTTTATCTTTCCTGACTGCTGCTTCTGTGTCACTGACCCCGAGGGAGGCGACAAAGATGAAGGTTTCTTTAGCCAGAAGAGAGAGGGTGTCAGGGCACAGACGCTTACATGCTAAAATTTTTCCTTCTTGTGGGTGCTGCATAAGAAGCCCTGGACTGGAGGAGTCCCTGGCCCTGGGCCTGCTGGCATGCTCAGTAGTCAGCATGCTGGATGCCCATCCAGTCCAGCCTTGATGGAACGTGGGCTGTGGTTGGGCTGCACACAGCTGTCAGACCTGGTTTTCATGCTCCTCCTGAGGCCCCAGGTTGGGCCTCCTTCCTAGGCAGTGGGACTTCATTCCTGACTGCCTCGTGACCTCCCCAGCCCTTCATTCCCCACGGCCAACAGATTTGACTCCATTTTCAAGACCTGGCATAACCCACCCTCTTCACAGCCTCCACACCACCCTGGAGCTCCTTCTACTGACACTGCCCTGGCTACAGTTAGCGCTTTCGTCTCCACTTTCCGACCTCTACTGATCGGTGTCGCCAGGCCGGACACTTAGAAGTTAATTTGCAGAGTCCCGAGTTTTCTTTAGCGAACACAAGCAGGGATGTCAAAATCTCTGCTCTTCAAAGAATGTGATGTTAAAAACCACACAGCTGGGTCCCAGACTGTAATTAAAAAGGAAAATAGTGGGGGGGCGTGGGGAGTGGGGAAAAAAAGAAAAGCAGCCAAAGAGTGAGACCGTGAATGAACTCGAGGGCTCTCAGACGCCGCAAGTCTTCAGTCCCTTCCTGTCAAGGACTAAAGCGTTCTGATTTACACACCATTTCTCTCCCAGATAACCTGAATTTTTCCAACAGAGCCTGTTACTTACAGGAAATCAGTCCTGCCCCACCTTATCCACCTCCTCCCCTTCTTTAGGCTTCTGGAAGCTGCCGGCAGATGGCGCCAGCCTGCATTTTTGTTTTCCTTGTAGCCTTGGGAGCCAGAAAGGGGGTGGGGGTGGGGGTGGAGGAGAGGTCCGAAGTCAGAAGAACACTGAGCCCAGGCCAAGATTTCTTCTGGCATCTGGAATGCATTAAAAACAACCCACAGAGCTGAATATAATTCTCCTTCGAAGAGAGTGGGGTGGAGAGAGAGAGGGAAGAGGGAGAGAGGAAGACAGAGGAAAACAGAGGACGGGGTGGGGTGTGTGGGGGGGGGGGGGGGGGTGCAGGGAAGCCCATACTGAAAACCGTGTGCCTCCTCTCACTTGGCCACACCAGCTTCCAGCATTTTAGCTCTGGGTGGACAGGGTGATGCTGTTGAGAGAAAGAAGGAAGCAACAAGCAGAGGATTCTAACACAGGATGGCAGGATGGGATTCCCAGCGGTCTCCCGCTAGCGAGCCCCTCCTCCTTGGTATGGAGGTATCTCCTATGGTGGTGGTGGTAGGGGGGGCATCTCCTCTGCACACAGCCCTATCAGCTTGCGGTGTGACATGCCCATCGATATTGAGGCGGTGACTCATGGGTAAGATCTTGCAGGTGGAATTCCAGGGATAACCAGGCCTTCGCTGTCACGAACTCTCCTTCCTCCAACTCCCAATTCCGTTTCATGTTCCATTTTCTTCTGGGCCTTGGTGAAAAGTGCTTTTAGTTGTTGCTCAGTTCCACCACTTAGCATTCGCAGGTGCTGTATTGACCAGCAAGTAAGTGACAGCGGGGCCAGCTCCGAGTGGGGACAGGGATCCTGGGGGGCAAGTCATTTGGGGACGAGGCAGTTGAACCTCAGTGGTGATCAGTCTCAGGTTTGGGGACCGGTTCTTCTTCCTACTCCTGATACCAAAGGGCACCCATTCAGCTAGGCTGGGAGAGAGCTGGGCTTGTGTAGCTCTGTCCAGGCCACGCTCTTCACCAAACTCATTTCTGCCTCAATTCTACTGCTGCTGGCTGCAAACCGCGGGTGACCATTTGCTTTTCTGTTGCTCCCGATGGCTATCTTACAGGACAGGTGTGAAGGAGAGGGGACAGAGCTATGGGACAGAACAACCAGGCCAGGCTAAGCTGCCTGTGGCTGTGGTTTGTCCTTCACAGATGCAGACTTTGAGAGTTTGATCCCCAGTATGCAGTACTAGGGGGTGGTGTGGAAACTCCAGACATGGCCTGGTGAGAGGGCCACCAGTGTGTGCTTTGTCCGTCAACATGAAGGCATCCACCAGGAAGCCTACGCCAGATACTGGCGCCCTGCCCTTGAACCTTTGGAACTTTGAACTAAAATCCTTTTTGCTTAATGAAGTGCGCAGTCATGGGTGTTTTGTTTTAGCCACAATTAGCTAGTACAACCACCCTGTCAGCTAGTACAACCACCTGTCTAATTTCCATGGTTATGCTGAGCATAATTGGGGAGATGGGCCACCATGAACTGTGCCTTCACAAACAACAGCTCCCAAACGACCCTTAGAGTTCTCCACACGGTGCTTGCTGAGTGATGGACACAGTTGAGCTCCAGCCTGACCTTGGAGCCCGTGGCCACTTTCTTTCCTTTGAAATCCTGCCACCCATCCTCCTGGCTTTTCAGTTCTGTCCCCACAGTCAGCCCCCTCAGGCCATCTCACCCTCCTGAGCCCCACCTCTTCTCTCCTCTTGCTCTCTGTCTGACAGGGCTTCCTTCCGTGTTCCCTCTGGGGACAACACAAAGTAGTGTTATAGCACCATAGACTGGAGCTGGTCCAAGAGGTCAGGTCCTGCCCCCTGCTGTCTGATTTGAGCCCATTGTGGAAGCCACCATGGCCTTAACACTAGCAGCTCTGCCATTGGTCTGAGGGCTGAGTTGACACAAGTAAGTTGTTTACATGGGGCAAGCACCTGATAATGGGAGCTGTTGCTAATAGCTTCCCTTCTCTCAAATCTGGTTGTCTTCAGGAAGTTCTGTTCTGTGGGAAAGGGAATGTGGGTGTCTGTGTTAGTCTGTGTCTGGCCCTCCAGACTAATAGTTTCCAAATAGGGAGGTATACACCCCACGGGATGCTCAAGCACTCTTCTAGGACATATGGGCGAGCAGGGAACTTGATTTTCTGTGCAGAGTTTGCTGTATATCCACCAAAGTCCATGACTATTTCCTCTTGGAGACAAGCTACTCTACATTTCTCAGCCTCCCTTGTAGGCGGGCGATCTGTGTGATGTAATCAGGGCCTCCGTGATGCCAGAGTGCTGTCCTTTCCAGGTCTTCTCCTAAGCTCCCACGGACCGGTTAATTCTCAAGGCTGGCTCCTTCACCATCTATCGGTTGATTGGAGAAGACTCCGGAGTCCTGAGATAGAGCACTCAAGATGGAAGAATCCTCCATCTTCAGATGAACAAGAAACAACTCCAACCTAAGGAAGACATAAAGTTTGTTCCGTTAAGCTCACAAAACTGATGATTATTCCATACCAACTCAACTTGGATTAAAATTTATTCTGCAACATTATCTGTTAATCTTCCTTCTTATGTTATACATGTTTCAATAGAGAGAGATACAGCATCCCACACTTACAATTTCGTGCCCAACATTTTAATAACACATAAATGGAACATTTGGGATCTTCTCTCCCTTGTGTTTGAGCGACTTAAATCCTCACTCAGATCAGTGCCCACAAGATTGGCCCCCCTCATTTTCAGAAAAACCCTGTCATCTCAACTTTTAGCCGGGCTCTATTGTCTGT